CGCCAGCGGCAGTGCCGAAGAGAGGATGCATATCGATCTAGCTTCACCAGCGTCACCAGCGGCACGCTGGCGTACGCTAGCGGCACGCTAGTGTACGTTTCACCAGCGTTTCACCAGCGTTTTGCTATCGTTTGCAGCGGCAGGGGAGTAGAGACTATGGGAGAGAGCTGGAGGATACAAAACACATCGATTGCGCGTCTCTCACTCGCCCTTAGTCTCTACAATGCACATCGCTTCTGCGTCTCCGACGGCCACATAGTCTCTACAATGCACATCGCTTCTGCGTCTCCGACGGCCACATAGTCTCTACAATGCACATCGCTTCTGCGTCTCCGACGGCCACATGGTCTCTACAATACACGTCGATTCCGCGTCTCTCACGGCCACATAGTCTCTACTGCTCCCTGCCGGCCTGCAAGGCGCTGGGAGGCCAAAAGCTGGTGCCGCTGGAGAAACGGCGTCGAGAAACGCTGTGAAGCTAGGGGAGTCGTACGCTATGCGTCCCGGTGCTTCGTGCGCTGAGCGTGGCCGGCTGGCGCTGACGCTAGCGGTTGACGCGTGAGTGAAGCTAGATCGATATGCATTCCTTCTTCGGCACTGCGGGGCGGGGTGGCGTACGCTGGAAGCGCTACGCTACGCTGCCGCAAAGTATAAACGCAGCCTAACTTAGCATTTTTGGACAGCTGCATAAGATTCACAGCGCTAAATCCATGAAAGAACAGCAAAAACGATACACTTTAGTTCACTGCAGACGGTTGGGCGTATCAGGCAGTATGAGTGTGTCACCCTTTCAAAACCGTTCTCTGCCTTCTTGTTGAAACGCGCATGCGACAAGCAGTGTCTAGTAAATCGGATAACGAACGGTATGATTGAAAGCTTACTTCCGAATGACGTCAATCAAACTATCCACTCGGCTTCCGTAAACTGAAAACACCAAAAACGGCACAAATAAAAAAACAGAACTTGGAAATCATCACAAAACAACTTTTTCATAAAGTCAAGAACGGCCTTTGCACTTGGCAGTGCTAACACTGAAAGATTTTGAGATTTTCGTAATCTGAAGAGAGAAATCACTTAATGAGTTTTGACCAACATTTCAGAAAAAGGGACCGAAAAAATAATGCCAAGATAAGGAATAAAGGCTCAGTGATGCTTATGGAGTGCCCAGGAGTGCTATTGTTCAACCACTAGAGCACACTTATGTACTAGCAAAGAAATTGGACAACAAACAAGTGGGCACGAAAATATTCTGCCATCTCCGATGCGAAAAAATTAGTCCAAAAATACAAAAATGATCGAATGTTGGAGGGCAACTATAATTACCGGCAACCACAGCTTCAACTCTCCAACTTTATCTTTCTTAAAAACTGGCTATACGTGCTAATACACAGTCTGAAAAAATCCACTCCACACACCTCCTTCCACTTTTTCGAGCTCAGGCGTCGCAGCGTTATTTTTGTCAGCTGCTTCTGATCTTACACCCATGGCATTAGTGTCCTGAAAGGATTTTGATCACTGCATCTACGAATTCTCATGTGAAGAAATATAAAACGAAGAGTCTATCAAAGGCGTTTACCTGGATTAGACTGGAAAACATTGCGAGCACGAATTCCTCCGAGTGAGCAATTGAAAAAAAGTTGGGAGAGTTCTGATACAGGAATGTAATCATTTGCACAACAGCTGATGGATAGTCAATATGCCATCCTTGAAGAGACTGGAAAACAAATAAAACTATATAAAAAGACGATTAATTGTGAACAACTAAACTTTATAGTGCGTCATAAATGGAATGCACAATTTCATTTCAGATTCAACAAATTTGGAACAAAATTCAATATTTTTTGGACCAAAGTATGCCACAATTTCAACGGACAGCTATTCTTTCCGAGAAACCACAACGATACATTTTAGGCGTAGCATTTCTGCATAACATAACTTTGCTTCTGCTAAAAGTAAAAGGTTAAGTCTTAACCGTTGATCAATCCCTTTTTTGTGATGCGACACGCGTTCAAATTCCATTTAAAATCGCATCGTAAGCGTGCCACTTGCCCAATACATCACCCCACCTCTTTCATTTGCTTGCACGTGGACATCGCAAATGCATGTCTCCTCTTCTCAGTTGCCGCTGCACCTACCGTAGTCTCTTCTGGATGTTGTTCGACGATTTCTTCAGTGTTCTGCCGGGTGTCAGGAATCAGCTCTATTCCATTGTTGCCCCTTCCCCTCTTCCTCTCCCACAGCGGCGTTTCACGATGGCACCTTCCCATCTGCGACCGCTGATTATGGTTCCCCCACGAGCTTGACCACGATCATCTGCGTCAAGGTCATTCGCTGATCCGCCGTACCGGAAATGGCCTTTTTTTTCTGAAACAATCCTATGCAGCACTCGCAATCAACCAAGATTCATCACGAGCGTGTCGTTGCGTAGTGTTCCCTATTGTTGGGATTTCAATGCAGACGTTAATAAACGTGTAATTGGGAAGAGGTTATCACAAAGTGAGGGTGGAATACACTGACGCATTGAAGAAAATTGAGCACTAGTCAACAAACAAGAGGAGTGATGATAAAACAACGCGACACAGAATTAAGCTCACTTCATTCCCTGAGTAGATGGAAGCTCTGATCATCGCCAAAAGTGGTATTAGGGCATCATAGCAAAATTCTGCCGATCTAATTGCTTCATATACCGAACTGCAAGGAAGTGGCTAACAATAAGAAAGAAACAATGCAAATGATAGAAATATTCACCTATTAAGCGCTAGACCAAAAACATGTGTCCATATCTGGTCGACATTGAAACTCTCACAAAATCGAAGTTCTTTCACAGGCTAAAAACAAAAGAATTGTCTGAAGAATATATCTCTTGGAAGCACGCCCCGCATTCAAAAAATAGTGATTTCTGCGGCTCAAGCACTAATGAGTAGACTATAAGTAACACAAAAGCTGAGGAAGAAAGCTGAAAAGACCCGAAATGTCGCAATACAGAACACCCAAGTGAACCACGCTTGTAAGCAAGGCGAAGAAAGGGTGTGGTCTCACTTGT